TCAAATTGTGGGAATGCTTGGATGACATTCTATTATGTGAGTCATTAGTAGACTAATGACAAGTTTAGCTCATTATATACGATTAACAATTTGGTGACAACTTGTTAATCCTAATTAGCTGCCACAACTCCTATAGACTATAAATGTCAGAGTTACAATATAAATGTGTTCTCTATGAAAAGATGTTAACCCCTATGGAAAAGATAGAGAAAAGGATAAAAAAGTGATATGGAAGGTGAATGAGATTTACCAAAGATGACTCTTAAGGCAGCCTGTCACCGGATGGCTCGGTCTATAGGTTTTGGTATGGAACCTTAAGTCTCTTGTGTGATTTAATAATAGATCCAAGTAAGTTGTTTATCATTTTATTGAGACTAACAATGGTATCAGAGCGAGGTTGTGAGATGAGTGGGGCTTGGGATATCAGAAAGGCTCTGCTCTTGTGGCTGGCCAGATGGTTTGAAAGGCCTCTTGAGTTCTCTGATGGTGTCGATTTCTATTGTCATCGAGTTCAATTTTGTTCATTGTGTAGCATCTCCAGCTTTCTTTGCAGTGCTTCATACTCTGCTTTGATATGAAATGAAACACCACGTTTCTGGTAGACCATTTTTTTGCGTCAAGTCTTCGTCAATGTCATTGACAGTAGTTGCAAAACGATGGTTTGCAGGGATACATTTCATTGTATCGAGGTGAACATCTGGTGGAACGGGTTCTCATTCTTTAAAGAACAGAGTTGGTCTCTTGCACTAATATGCATGCGTTCTCCTGTTTTTGATGACCTTTTTGTTGCTCTTCGGTAAGGGTTACAGGGGACCAAGAGATAAACCTATTCTGAAACAAACGATTTTTTTTCGCCTTTAAGAATTCATCCATATGCAAGGTGCCCATCATTTATGTAGTAACATATTACAAACTTTTTTTGGTAAGTTTGAATATGAAAAGAATTTGGTAGGTTTCAATTACAAACATTTTATAGTAAGTTCTTTATTGCATTAAATTAAAAATTTGTTCACGTTCTATTTTATCTAAATAGCATGAAATCAATGCACTTTGAATATGAAAAGTATTTGGAAGGTGACTTTATGGTAAGTTTTTTATTATCTTAAAATATAAATTTGTTCACAAATTTGTTCACAAAGTTTTTGCACAATATGAAAGGTATTTGGAAGGTTTCACTTACAAATCAATGTGCGGTCCTATTTCAAAACGTAAGTATCTCTCTATTTAAAATTTAAGTTTCTCTCTCTACCTAAAGATAAGTCTCTCTCTTCAATGAACATGAAAGACGCATTCATTAGCTTGTCATTTGCACCATGGGCCACGAACCATGGACATCATTGATGTTATTACTGTAAGACATTATTTTATATTTTAGCTAAACATTTTAATGCACAAAAGGAAGTTTGCGTAATCTCAGGCAAATTTCAATATCCATTTATCTAACCATTTGTATGAAAATATGGAGAGGAAAAGAGAGATGCACTCTATCATTGCCTATGTACAGAAAGAGAAAATTGATGTTAGCTATTTGCTTTTCTATTTCTAATATGGCCCTCTAACAATTATACATATTATAACAAGACAACTATTTATGTATAGAAATACTTGATTTGAAATATTTTATGGTGATCAATGCTTATGAATAGTCCAAGTTCAACAATATATGTATATTTGTGATAATATTATTTTACCTCCCTCATTTTTTTTACAAGATTATGGATTACAACTTCCTTGGAAAGTATAAACTTACTGACCAAATTGGTAGGGTATACGTGAAATCCCATGAGAGCAACATGAGGCAATACCATATAAAAGATTATTGAGGCTAAGAAGTCTAAGTATAGTGTATGACCACATTGGCAAGGTATATATGAAATCTCATGCCAATAGCATGAGGCAATGCCATATACATAGTTGTTGAGGCTAGGAAATCTAAGTGTGGTGTATAACCATGTTAACAAGGTATATGTGAAATCTCATGCAAGTAGCATGAGGCAATGTCATATACAAGGCTGTTGAGGCGACAAAATCTAAGTGTGGTATATGACTACGCTGGCTGGGTATATGAAAATCCCATACAGAAAGCATGAGGCAATGCTATATAAAAGATAACAAAGGGCCTTTAGGCCAAGTGGGAGTGTCGTTGGAAATGTGGCCTATCAGGCCCTTTTCTCCTAGAAATTTATTTTTCAATAATGGTACGAAAGTCATATTGAAATATATGTGAAAGCCATGTGGTTAATATGAGGCAATGCTATATACTTGGATCCATTTTTTAGCTTTAATAGGATGTTGCACTGGAAGGAAAACCCGGTGTGACTAGAGGGAAAACCCAGTGGTGTGTATGGATTTTTTGTAAGAATTTGTTTTAATATTATAGAAATACAAAGTTTATTTAATTTCTAAATATCTTTTATCAAATTGTAGGAATGCTTGGATGACATCTTATTATGTGAGTCATTAGTGGACTAATGACAGATTTAGCTCATTGCATAGGGCTAACAGTTTGGTGACAACTTCTCACCAAACTTGGACCTTAACAGTTTTATTACATATGATTAACAGTTTAGCTACACTTAAGGGAATTAAGGCAGGAGTTACACTTGGATCATAACTCCTATAGACCATGAATGTAAGAGTTACAAAATAAATGTGGTCTAAATAGAAAAGAGGTTAACCCTAGAAAAGATAGAGAAAAGGATAAAAAAGTGAGATGGAAGGTGAATGAGATTCACCAAAGAGGATTCTCAAGGTATCCTGTCATCGAATAGCTCGGTCTATGGCTTTTGGTATGGAACTTTAAGTCCCTCGTGTGATTTAAGGACAGATCAAAGTAAGTTGTTTATCAATTTTATTTATTTGTTTTTTTTATTGGAACTAACAATGGTATCAACTTAAGGTTGTGAGATGCAAGGGGGTTGGGTTATCTGAAAGGCTCTTCTCTTGTGGCTGGCTAGATGGTTTGAAAGGCCTCTTGAGTTCTCTGATGGTGCATATCCCGGTAAGTTGTTTATCTTTCTTTTTTTTTTTCCCCCTTTCCTTCCCCTTTTTTTTTTTTTTTTTTTTTTTTTGGGTACTAACAGGTTGGGGGGGGGGGGGGGGGGGTGCTTACCTGAAAAACCCATGGACTTTGTCTCGACATAAGATGTCTAAGTGGGATGTCAATCTTCCTTTTGGAATAGAACCAAGAGGGCATGAAGCTATACTGATTCTTTTGAACATAAGTTTGATGCAGTTAACAATGGCAGAAACTGGGATGATATTCCTTCCGTGAAATAGCACCTTAATGGCCTCATGATGAGGCAGATCTCATTGTTAAGGTTTCCATGTTCTTGGGCCCATAACACTCCAAAATTTAAGATAATAAAATCATATTTAGGGAGATGAAGGAGAAGCACATCTCAACTGGAGTAACCAGAAATTTTTCTGCTCAAAATTTTAACTTTTCAAAAATAAGAAAGAAAACTGATAAAACATAAAGCAACAAATTCATCTTTTTGAGGCTTTTAATCGATAATTACGAGTTCTTTAAACCCTGGGTAGCGATATATGGTTTCATTTTATTATGGGCAAATGTGTAGGAACAAAAGGGGGAATTCCATGCTAGGTGGGGTTTCTAATTCATAGTGGGTTTGAGTTCCTTTGTGGGTGTAATAACAAAAGGGTGCTGTTCATATAAGATGTCAACTTTAAATAATCGAAGTAATGCACACCTCTAAATCCTGTAGGAACATTAGTTATAGTGTTGATGGCCTTTGCAATGGCCCAAAAAATATGTCCATCCATCTTAGGAGATTCAATGCTCCAAGAATGCTAAATAATGATGCATGGCATGATGCATTATTTTGAGACTTGAAATCCTTCTTTTTTTCTCATATACATAGATCTCGAGATCGATACAGAGGATTTCTCAGAGTAGGAACATTCTTTTCCAATGGATTGTTGCAGTGTTTGTTACTTGTACAGTACAAGCTTGGCCTAGCACAAACATTTTTCGATAAAATAGGGTTTGGGGTTTTTTAATGGCGTGCTTACCTAGAGACAGCCAGAACCAGCACATAAAATCCTTTGAAAGAGAACTTTTCTTTAAGATTTTTCAAGTTAGAGAAGGAAGAGATCCTGAAACTAGAGAACAAAGATCTCGGGAAGACCATTCTACCTTCCTTTCTCATTTCCTGATGGATCGATATTTTCCAGGGGTTTTTTTCCTTTTCAGAAGGATTTTCCATGCATATCTGCGCCTCATTTTTTTTTTTTTTTAGTTGATTCTCAGCCTAACCATGCAGTGCTTTTTATGGCCAATTCTCCCTATTTTTAGTACTTGTAAAATCTCTGCTCTTCCCCATTGATTTACCCAAAAAAAACTGTCAAACAATGACAGCTTACCGCCATTGACAGTTGACAAGTATGATTGCAGATGGGTTGAAGGTCGGTTAAAGTAGCCAATATTCTACTAGTTAATAATAGAATATCCAGTTCCTAAATTAAAATCTAAATTGGAAGTTAGTGACATTCACAGTAAAAAGGTCGTAAATGCATCTCTCTGAGTAATCCATGAATTTTAGAGGGGTTTTAAAGTTAGAAATTGGTTGGTACGAAAATATTGTGGTAAATGTGGTTGGAGGGAAATGAATGAAAAGTGAGAGTCAAAAGATTTCCTACTCCCGCAGGAGTATAATATCTATTTACTCCCTCGGGCATAACGCAAACTAAGACTGCTTTTTAGATCTCAAATTTTGGGATATAATCTCTACAAGCCATAAACTAATCTTAGTAGAAAAAATTTCTAAAATAAACTCTATTTATCAGAACAAATATAATACCTCAATATTGACTAAAGACTGTTCAATTTTTCAAGGGCTAGATCACGCTTCAAAAAAAAAAAAACCTCAAAATTTAACTTTTTATTTTCAAAATAATCTAGTAATTCTTATGTAGCTACCAAAATTTTAGACTAAAATAATCTTCCTAAATAGGTGTTTTGCACGAGGGAGTAGATGAACAGTATGCTCCCACAGGAGCACAACATACATGCTCTGAGTTAGAAGAGTGGGGATTGAAATGCATATTATCTTAAGCTATTAAAATACATCTTAAATATTACATTTTGGACCTTAATGACAAAGTAACATCTATGGTTCATCTTTTTTACTCTTGGCAAGCTGCTATGAGCTCATTAAGCTTACATCTCAAAAGTCTGTGCTTTCCCTTGCAGAAAAGATATTTTGGAATCCAAGGCTCGAATGACATTGCCATACTTATTAGATCCAACAAAGGCCCCTCTCCCTTCTTGTGTCCACTTGACTAATCTACAATGCAGATCCATTAGCATAGTCACATTTTGCATGTCACCTTCCCTTTGCAAGAGTAGAGGCTCAATGCAATTACATAAATAAGTTTCAGCCTTTGCTTTGGCTTTGCCAACAAAGTCCACACTTTCACTGTCATCCTCAAACATGACCTGTGACATGTCTTCTAGTATTTCACCCAAGTCAAACACAAGAGCAACACCTCGTATGCAATGTCTGACTGACCATTCATTTGATTCCTGATTATCGGGTAGTTTAGACAGTAGTTTGATCCTTGAGTGTTTTTTATTGGATGAGAGGATTCTACTTGTCACTATATAATGGAACAGCAGCATGCAATCCCAGTCTTCTAAGGTGCAAGCATTCCCAACAAAAACACCTAAGAGTATCTTTCTAAACAATAAACTAGGTTCTGAGCAAGACAATGGAACTCTCTCTCCGGTGCTCAATCTATGTCCAACTTTAATTCTCTCTCTAGGAGGAGAAAATTCAGTTTCATTGCAGTAATCACCACATAGCATGTGGAAGTCTTCAAGCCAGCCTCTCAGTGCCCGGGTATGGGACTCGTTTCTCATGTCATTCTCAATCAAGGACTGCTTGCGTTTTTTCTCCTTAAGAAAATGTGACCGATGGATGCCAGCTTCATTGAGTTTGATCCAAGATTTTGATACTTCAATAAATCGATTTACCATATTGATGTGGGCTGCCCGCAAGGGACTCAGGACCCACCCAAGGAACTTTGCAGCAGCTTGACATAGATTACAAGTTTGATTTTCATGACTGGCATTTGATTTGCATTTTGACTGGCACTTCAACGAATGTTCTCTTTGGAAGAGTGCCATGGCTGAAAAGTAGAACCAAACTGGGAAATCAAGCAAGAGCGCCCTGCAAAAGAATTGTCTAGTCACACCAGATGTGGACTGATGAAACCAAATAAACCATTTATTTCTTTTCTTCTTTCTTATATGACCAGACAGCTTTCAAAATATATCAAAAAATAAAGGAACTTACCATATAGTGTTCTGATAGACCAACATTTTGTTTGTGCGCTTGATATCATCATATGCATGGGGATCTGCATCTAAGACCAACTGTTTCGAAATATGAACATTGCTTTGCAATAGATCGACCAAATGCAACAGATTGCAGCATGAAATTGGTCCACTCAATATCCTTAGTAGAGTTTGCAGCTTATGGGGAAAGAGGGTATGAAATAATGGTAATCTTAATCCCATATCCAAAGATATGCCCCACCGCATTGGATTTGAAAGAATATCTAAGACAGAAGAGACTAGTCCACTACGAAGCTCCAGTATAGACGATGACCCCCTGAATTAAATAGCACAGATTGCCACTTCAATATCAATATCAAAAAAGAACAAAAAAATAAACTAATACCCATTGCAGTAAAATACAACTCAAAACAAGTAATAATACTGTTGTAAAGGAAATCTCTTTACAAAACACTTTCATTGTCTCCAATGGAGATTAAATGTCTTAATCATGGTAGCATAAAAATGACAGATTTCAAAATCAATGCAGATCAAAAGTTTACTTTTTCACGGAAAGTAGTTACTTCCAAGATCTGGACAATGAGGGTAGCAGGATAGGTCAATAGGGACGACTGAGGACAGCGTTGGAGACTTGTTGAATGTGCGACCCTAAAGGTTTTAAAATTGTTTGAATTTTATGAGCAGAATGTATGCCCTAATGCAGGTTTGTGCCTGCTGGCAAGAAGTCCAGGGTAGCTTCCCTGCAAGCAGAATTTATAGAATTGCGTAAGGTATGAAATTCTGATATTTTAACCATAGGGATTCAAGGAACTGGGGTGGAGGACTAATCTGTTCAAATGCTATAGTGCAATATTTCAACTCCACCTAATACACTAGAGTCAGATTGAAAGGGAAACTCAAAGATCTTTTCTATGGGGCCATTAGCCATCCTTTATTGCCTTAATAAATGAACCCCTGCCATCTTGGGTGTTCAAAAATCCAAGGTATTGTTTTTCCCAGGCAGGCCTACTCACAGGAATTATGCCCATACCTCTTTCCCTATCTAGTTAATGTCTTCAAATTACCCAAGAAAAGCATAACATCCTGGAATTCTCTCAAAGACCTTTTCGATGGGGCCATTAGCCATCCTTTATTGCCTTCTTACAGAAACATATTGCAGTCAGTTTTATGAAAGGCAAATACTTCAAACTACCCGTCATTTCTTTGCTTTTTTTTTTACTGATACCTGATTCATTCTTGCTGTTTAAACAGTTCCTCTTGGGAATAAATAAATATTTCCCCATCTGTTGATTTGCTTAAGGTCCCAGTAAGTGCATTCTGCTACAGGCAACGATATTTATTTCTCTTTTGACACATGGCTCATTTCACACTTTCTTGCTGAAATTTTTGAGAAAATATTTATGATCTTTGTTTAGTTCCTAATGTTTCCGACTCCAGATTTTCTCATTAGTGTTCTTGATCTCTCTGGTCTCCAAGCACTCAACTGAAGAAGTGCTGAAACAAATCCAAGACCACTGATTCCTAGAAGGAGATTTTCTTGATGAATCTGTTTGGATACATGAAATAATCGCCCTTTTCCTATCTGTAGTGCATGGGAAGATTTTGAGACAATGCTTCGAAAGCCAACTCTTTTTTCCATCTGGCCTATCTTGAGTTTTGAGTTTCATGCATGTTTAAGTTTCTAACGAAATGAACTACTGGTAACATCAAAAGAACTTAATTAACTTTCGACTATTGCTAAGCTCAAAAAACCTGGTCTGTGACTTTCTTGTAGAATCTTTCTACAATTATAAGACCTGAAATTCCTTTTCACATGGCAAGTATTTCAACTGAGTACATTAATTCCCACAATAGAAATCACGTGCTCCAAAATATCTATGCTGATTTTCTTGAAAACAAGACAAAATGATTTAAGTAGGTGTGCTGCATTTGAAGAGTTGATTATTTTATTTCTAAAAATAAATGAAACATGCTGAAATATGCCCATGAGCATAGTTTCAAGATCATATACAAATCCACTTACAGGGACTTCAAAGGTGCCATATGTTTGGTGAAAATCTAGATCTTTTTTAAAAAAAAAAAATATACATGTTAGTAAACTGTAGCTGAGCATCGAGCAAGTGTTTTGTCTGTCATTATATGCATACAAGGCTTAGATTTTTGCATGAGCCTACGGGTTTGGACAAACATGCAAGAATTTTTTTGTTCATACCAATTCCCCCCCCCCCCCAAAATTCTCCCCAGGGAGCACAAGGTGGAATAAATTCAGGAACACCTCGAGAGTGTTATTTCCAGATGATGGGCACCAAATAAAACTCTTAGATCATGGCAAAACAAAGTTTCTGCACTTCAACAAAGATGGTATTCTCCCTCAAGGTTGTTGGGCATGTGGGCTGAAACAGGATTGGAAGCATGGGTCCTGAAGTTAGGGAGCGCCACGGTAGCATCAATAAATTAAATATTAAAACTAAGTACAGTACCTAGAAAATAAGATTGACTTCAAAAAATACTTCAAGAATTTTGATGCTCAAGTTCTCTTTCAAATATGGCCCTAAACGAAGAAGCTCCCCCTTAAAACCAAGAAGTCACCTGGTGACTCACTTTTATGTCCCACAAGTTTTTTTTGAAACTGTTAACATTGTATTAAATGTACAGTATACAAAAAACTGCCCCCACCTGGGACACAAAACAGCCACTGAGGATATGGAATAGTAGCAAAAAATGCTATAAAAAAGGATTCCTTAATTACAAAATGGTGGGATTGGTAATACAAAAATGAGATAGAAGAAGCATAATGACATAGATTAGGTCAACACCATAGAAGCGCCTTGCTTAGCCAGCGTGTCGGCTACTTGGTTGGCCTCCCTCCAGGTATGCTTCCATGAGGCCTGTAGATGCCTGCAAATGTCAAAAATCTCATCAAAGATAGTCAATAGTCTCCAAGGTGGGGCAGCCTCTCTGAGACCCAGGAAATTACGTTTCTTGAGTCACCCTCTACAATCAGAACAGTGATCTATGAAGGATTGAATTGTTTGAGGCCTTCCTAAACAGGCACGAGCGTCTGCCATGGTGGAATCCGCGATACCGATGGGAGAGGCGAAGGAAAAAGGAGAGAGACCCTGGTGGTTTCTAAAGATACCCATGATGCCCGTCGGGCCTGGGTTGCTAAGGGAGCATCCATCAAAATTGAGTTTGGTATGGCCCATGTGCGGGGATCTTTAGAGGGAATAACAGGGCACCTGCCTGAGCCTATGATGTAAGATGGTGGTCCAGTTGCGGTGCAGATTAGAGGTACAGAGAAACTTGAAATGGTTGTGGTTGGTGGCCCAGAAGATTACCATGGATTTGATGGACTCCAATACTTCCTGACGTTGAGACTGCTGCCCCCAAAGGATTCTATTTGTTGCGTTCCTTCCAAATCGACCACAGAGTGTCCGCCACTACTGCCTTCCAAAGCATGGCACCTGATTTGGGCCATCGTAAAATGCATTTCCTGGAAAAGCTGCAGAACTGATTCCGATGTGATCCATGACCAACCAAACAGTAGGAGCAAGTCCTCCCAGAGCTGACTTGCGAACGTGCAGTGGATGAATAAGTGGGAGTTTGTTTCCTCCTCCGATAAGCACATTGCGCATCTATTAGGGATTTGCAATGGAGTTGGTCTACAATTAGGACTCTCTCCCACAGCCCGACCCAATTATAGACCTGTATTCTTGGGGGAATAATTGTAATCCATGCTTTGGCAATGATAGACTGTCGCGTGGGCTGCATTCTAAGGGGGGCAGATTAGGCAGTGAAAGAAGGAGGATACTGAGAAGATCCCAGAAGAAGCTGGGGTCAAATGATTTTTTCCTCACCGAGAGAAGAGATGGAAAAGGAATGAAGAAGGGAGGAGAGTTCCAGGAAGGCAGGGATCTCTTCATCACAAAGATGCCTGCAAAAGTCAGGGTTACATGAAATCGTGTTCCCAACCGACCCGAAAAGGTCAGCAATGAAGGCACTGGGATTCCTAGCCAAGTGAAGAGATTAGGGAAGCGCAGCGAGAGTGGGAGGTGGCCTAACCAAAGGTCCATGCAGAATTTAAGTCTCATCCCTTCCCTAAGGTGGAAGCGGATGAAAGATATAAAAAGGTTAAGACATCGATGAAAGGATTTCCAGACTCCCGAAGAGGAATGGGGTGCCCTTTCAGGGAGGAACCAAGGAAGGGAGTGAAGGCGCCATTTATGACTTAGGACCTGGTGCCAGAGTTCACCCCAATGTTCGCTAGCCTCCACCACCACTTGCCCAATACGGCAAGATTATTATTATGAAGGCTTCTGATCCCCAAGCCCCCAACCATTTTAGGCTGGCAAACCAAGGTCCAAGCAATGTGGTGGTATTTCTTTGATTCCGCACCTGCCGATCAAAGGATGTTGCACATGAGGAGTTCGAGACGCTGAACTACAGACGCATGTGGAAGAGGGACATTTGGTAGATGGGGATGTTTGAGAGGTTGGCCTTAATAAGGGTGACTCTCCCAGTCAGAGAATTTGAATATACCCTTCCAAGTAGCCAATTTTCGTTGGAATTGTCTATGATATGACTTCATTGTGCTTTCTTAGGTTTACCATGGCATAAGGGAAGACCCAGATAGGTGGAAGGAAGAGCCCATCCCACAACCCTACTTGTTGCCAAAGGCTCGGTAGTGTGGGGGATCTAAGGCAATTCCAATCATTTTGGACTTTGCCATGTTGACCTTAAAACCCATGGCAAAGTGGAAACAATTAAGGAAAAGGAGAAGGGTATCGACTTGGTTTGCCGGGACGTCACAGAAAAGTAACGTGTTGTCAGCATATTGTAGGTGGGAGATAGTGGGACCATTGCCAACGATGTTGAATCCTTCCACTAGGCCGTGTTGGTATAATCTAGAGAGGGATTTGCTAAACACTTCGACTTCTATGACAAAGAGAAAGGCAGAGGGGGGATCAAATTGTCTGAGGCCCCTGGAAGATGGAAAAAAAGCCCAGAGGAGAGTCGTTAATGAGAACGGAAAAATGCGGATGGCAAATGCACCCTCGGATCCACTTTCTCCATCATGTACGAAGCCCAACCTGCATTTGGTCACATCTAAGACTTCCCAATTAACATGATCATAATCCTTTTCCAATCCAACTTAATGACAAGGCCTGGTGTTTTGGAGATGGTTCTGGAGTGGATGCAAGCAAGGGTTAATAATGCTCCAACAAGAATCTGGTAGTCCCTAATAAAGGCACTTGTGGAGAGCAACACGTGGTTGCTCCTCCAAGACCGCCAACTCATCTCACCCGCTCTCGTTCC